CTGCAGCCTGCCCTTAGTTTGTTTCCCCAGTGAGACTCTCTTGAAGGAAATGAAATTTCATTTGCAGCTGGTTATTAATTGGAGGCAGCTTCTGGATTAGGCATGGGGGCGTGTGTCCTTTCAGCTCTAGGACCCCATCTGGTGCAGACCTGTGCAGCTCACGTGAGTTCAAGTGTGCATCAGTCATGTGGATTTAGAGGGCCTTGTTTCCTTGTTCTCTGTCCCCTCTGGCTTTTATACTCTTTCTGCTCCCAATTCTGCAGGATTCCCTGAGCCCTGAGAGAAGGATTTGAAGAAGCTTCTCTGATGATGGCTCAGTAAGGTACTGATTTATTAGGAGTCATTCAGTTACTATTTAAAAAACAAAAGAAAACCAAAGGAAACAACAGTAGTATTTGGTTTTATCCTAGTCCCTGGTCCCAAGTTCTTGGTCGCCCAAGCAATGCCAGGTATGGGTCCCATCCTGTGGAGTAGGCCTTAAGTCAAATAACATAGTAGTTGATTACTCCCACAAACTTTGTGACACCATTGCACTAGGATGATCTTGCATACAGGACAGCACTGTAGATCAAAGGATTTGTGGCTGATTGGTGTCTATGTTTCTCCTTTGGTGGCCTGCAGAGTAACTATACCAAACATGCTTGAATACAGGGATGAAGTTTCTGCATAGGCAACAGCTCAATTTCTCTGTGCACACTGAGTTGTATAGGTGCTATCTTCAGTAATGGGGCCTTGCTATCAGTTTGTGGAGAGTAACCTATAGTCTTGGCAACAGCTTGGGGAGTTTGTAGTGTTCCCATGGGACTCCTTTGGCCAACAATTCAATTAGATGTAACCTAATCCTGGTTTGGAAGCTTCATTTGGTGACAAGAGCCAGTTAGGGCTCTCTTATTATTATTATTTGGTGGTTCACTTAGATCACCTTCATATACGTATATATTTAGGAAGCTTTCAATACTACCCCTCAGATGGCCCTTAAGTTTTAGTGGTCTCTGCCTATATCCCCTCCCTCATCTTCTTCTTCCCTCCCCCTCCCAATTTGGTCCCCCTGTTCTGGTTTGCCCTTCCACATCCCATCCATACCTTTTATTCTGTTTCCCTTTCCTAAAGAGATTGCTCTACCCACCCCACCCCACCCCATCCAGTCCCTGATAACCAAGCTACAGAATCACAACTAATATCCACATAATAAGCAAATGCCATATTTGTCTTTCTGGGTCTGAATTACCACACTCAGAATGATTCCCCCCCCCTCTAATTCCATCCATTTTCTTACAACTTTCATGATTTCATCTTGATGTTGTTTGGTTTTTCAAGACAGCGTTTCTCTGTGTAGCTCTGGCTGTCCTGGAGCTCACTCTGTAGACCAGGCTGGCCTCAAACTCAGAGATCCACTTGCCTCTGTCTCCTGAGTGCTGGGATTAAAGGCTGAATAAATGGCTGAATAAAACTCCATTGTGTAAATTTACATTTTCTTTTTTTATTCAGTCATCTGTTGAGGGACATCTAGGTTGTTTGCAATATCTGACTACTTTGAATAGAGCAGCAGCAAACATGGTTGAGCAAGTGCCTCTGTGGTAGGATAAAGCATCTTTTGTGTATTAGGTACAAGACTGGTATAGCTGGATCTTAAGATAGATTTTCATCTTCCAGAGTAACTGCCATATTGATTTCCATTGTGGCTATACAAGTTTGCAGTCCTACTAGCAATGGATAGAAGAATGTTCTATTTACTCCACATCCTTGCCAGTATGAGCTGGTGTGTGTGTGTGTGTGTGTGTGTGTGTGTGTGTGTGTGTGTTTCATTCCTAGGCATTCTGATGGGTGTAAGATAAAATCTCAGAGTAGTTTTGATTTGCATTTCCCTGATGACTGAGGTGCTGAACATTCAAGTGTTTTTCAGAGATACTTGCTTGGTCATATTCATTGCTGCTATGTTCACAATAGTTAGGAAAAAGGAACAACCTAAAAGTGCTTAAACTGATTCCACAATGCTCAGAAAACTGGTCCTGTCCTCATTTCACAAAGCCCCTAAAGACAGTTCCCGTAGTGCTAGGGAAATGTAGAGTGTTTGGCATTGGCATTAGCCATGCTTGTATCATTCATTGTTAATTTCTTTGGCAGTCTGAGTGCCTTTGCTTCTAAAATAGATTTCCAAAGCATCTGTCAAAACCAAAACAAACAGTTCAACATAGAAAAACAGGCTGCCAGACTCTTGACATGTAACTGATGATGGCTGGTGGGTTACAAACAACAAAACCCCCAAACAAGGGCAGAACAACTTTACTCTTTGCTATCTAAATTTGAAGTAACTTTAAATTTCCATTTCTTTATTTCCTCAACACATATATATGCTTCTTGTTCTTTGAATATGTGCAATTTGCATCCATCATTCTTTCGGGTACAAATTCCCTTTGAGCTGAGCTACAGATGGTTCTCCCTTAGCACAGGTGTTAGAAATTCTGTGATCCATTCTGTTCTTTGTCCTAGCTTGACACCATTGGCACTGTGGTTCTTCTACCAATCTCCTCTCCCTCTCCTACCAAGGGGTTCTATGTCCTCTTGTGAGAGGGTAAAACCATCTGATTTGGTGTTAGGAAGACAGATGAAATGTCATGTACTAAAGTCAGGATGTTTCTGCTTCCTTCTCCACAGCCTTAGCTTACACTAGTGGCCTGAGCTTTTATCGTAGAAAAACTAGTCAACTCAACTGTCCACGAGTTTTAGAATGAACTACTTCCCTCTTCCAGCTGAGAAAACAACCATGGTACTTTCTTAAATGAGGGACTCGAGACACAGGTAGCTCGATTAAAAATACGTTTTAAAAATAGGAATTAAGCCGGGCATTGGTGGTGCATGCCTTTAATCCCAGCACTCAGGAGGCAGAGGCAGGGGATCTCTGTGAGTTTGAGGCCAGCCTGGTCTCCAGAGCGAGTGCCAGGATAGGCTCCAAAGCTACACAGAGAAACCCTGCCTCGAAAAACCAAAAAAAAAAAAAAAAAAAAAAAAAAAAAAAAAAAAAAGTAATTGCTTACCAATCCTGTAATGGCACAGCATAGTTGACTGCAAACATGGTTGTGAGGGGGACGGCTGTTGTAACGCTTAGTAGCGGGACCAGCTAAATTTTCTTACATCATTCTGTTGCTTGTGTACAGGATGAGTCTTTGGTAGGGGTGGAGCTATAGTAGTAGTGGAGGGAGGAACACCTTCCTGTTAAGAGGTTTTTCAGATGGTTCCTTCATCAGTCAACAAAGCTTTACATCTCCCAGCACTGGCTATGATTCCTAATTTCCTTATTAACGAATCTGAAACTCAGCTATTTCATCTCTTCTGGGCAGGTGTATGCTGGTAAACGCTCAATAACCAGCTGTCAGCATGACTTGCAGTATTTGGTAACTTCAGGGGCACAGATGCTCCTGCTGTGACCAATTCCAAGCTACCAAACTGTCACTCCTCAATGTACTGGGAAGCAATGTGTACAGCTGGTTCTCAGGGACCACTTCCTGGCACCAGCACTTCACTGATACCTTTGAGCTAGTAAAGGAGCAGCCAGAAGCCTGGTGTAGTAACACACTTTATTCCCAACAGCCGGGAAGCAGAGGTAGGTGGGTCTCTGCGAGTTAAACATCAGCCTGGTTTGCATAGTTGGAGCTCACAAAGGACAAGGTGAGCTTTCCAGGCACCTGCCTACCCCAGAGGGCTGCCAGGTCTTGTGGCAGTCTCTTGGCCTTTCCATTTCACAAGTTTATTTTCTATAAATGCAGGCAAGAAAATCATATGGCAGGGGCTGGACTAGAGACTCAGCAGTTAAGAACACTGATTGTTTTTCCAGGGGACCCTTGTTGGATTCCCAGCACCCATGTGGTAGCTCACAACTATCTGTAACTCCAGTTCCAGGGATCTGACATCTTGACATCTTCTGGCTTCTGAAGGCTCCAGGCATGCAAGTGGTTAACAGGCAAGATATTCATATACGTAATAAATAAATAAATAAATAAATAAATAAATAAATAAGTAAAAGCACTGGGGAAGAGAAGAACCCCATTTAAAAATGCTGGTGGCCTACTGATGTATTTATCAATGATTTTTTTCTATACCTTTTTTTAAACTGTAAGAAGTGACGTCTGTTGTCATTTCTATCAGTATGATCACACAGCTTACTAAACTCAGTGGGCTAACAAGCCCCTCACTGTTATTACTCATTTCAAGGCTTAGTGTTTCAGAATTGCCTAATGAGAGTTCCCTGAGTTGGCTGCTGTGTAACTGAATGCACTTTCATGGCTCTCAGAGCATTTTCTTTCTTATGGCAGGTGTGCTGACTCCATTTTGCATTTTTCTTGCCTCAACACATTTGAAATAGCTGTTTTTCAAGAGGCCCTATGCATATCTTGATAATGAATGCAAATGAGGTATATTCTTATTCTGGCTAAAACCCAGACTCATGATTTGGTAAGGAAAAAAAAAAAAGATTCTCTAGCATTTGATCACCTTCAGCAAATCTACAGCAAATCTGGATTCCTACGCATTGGTATCATTAGTTTGGATGCTCAATTTGAAGCTGCTTCTGATTTCTGGTGTAACATATGGTTCTGCCACCAAAGAGTCCATAATAAAACCATGAGTTTCAGTGGGGAATTCATGTCTGGAATGGTGCCAGATGGCTGTAATTCCAACATAAAAGCTCATCACAGGCTTTAAAAAGTTAGATACTTTCCAGAAACCCTTTTCCTTTGATTGGGGAAAGATGCCCCTACCTAAATACTTAGGATTCCCAATCATGAGCCTACACACAGAAGTTGACTGATGAAGAGAATTCTGCCAACTTTATTCTGTAAATAGAGAACGAGATCCACCAATGACTCCTTGTATCACAGCGGTTCCTTAGTTCTCTTAGATCCCAGTCCACAGTCTTTAGGAGTACCTTATTTTCACTGACATACACTTGAAAGACATTTCTCAAAATATTTTACCTTACAGCTGAGAAAAGAACAGAGACAAACTTGTAAAAATACATCTTTTAATAAACACGAGGCAGCACATCACAGTCACTGAGGTTTTTACCTTGTGGTTTACAGCACATACTATCCACCATAGGGCATATATACAAGCAGAGTGGATTTATTCTTCTCTGAAGCTGGGTAACACAATTCTGGTGTACCATCTCACACTTGAGGTTATCTGCCAAGCTGGCTCCTTAGGAGGCCTTTGAAATTAACAGCTTTTAAACAACAAAAGAAAAGAAGTTATCCACCCCATCTCAAAAATAGCCCAGGAGTGCTCAAGTGACTCAAAAGGATTGTAAATGCATGCTTTCCTTTGATGGCATTAAAAAATAGTCATTTATGCCAATTCTGGAATGCTAAAAAGATAATACAGAAACAGCTGTTTCTCTTCCTGAGTGAAATCATAATAAATACTAATTGGAGGCTATAGATGATGATGCCAAAAGACTTTCCTAAGAAAGCTTAACATTTGTAGTTACAACCCTGTGTGCTGCAAACTGTCTTGTATTCTCATCGCTGAGGCTGCTTTCTTTCTTTTTCTTCTTTTTTTATTTCATTTTTATTTATTTATTTATTTTTGAGACAGGGTCTCACTATGTAGCTCAGACTGGCTTGGAACTTACTATGGAGTCCAGGATGTCCTGAGAGATGCACCTGTCTCTGCCTCCCAAGTACTAGAATTAACATCAAAGGCCACCACACCTGACCCTACTTTTAACTCTATTTTATACTAAAACCAAGGGATAGTGGAATTCTTGATCCTTTTGAACAAAAGTTTAGTGGGAGAAAAACCAAGATTAACTAACAAAGGGGAAAAAAACTAATATTAATCTCAAAATTCCAGCTGCCATTGTCTTGGAATGATCAACACTCAGCTTTATCTATGAATGAGAAGACCCAGAGGTGAAAAAGATTATAAGCTATAATTAAAAAAAAAAAAACCATAGTGTGCATGCTATGTATGAACAGCATTTAAAAATTATACAACCGGATTTACTTGCGTATATAAAGTAATGTTGGACTTAGGGGAAAGTACTACATATCTCTATAGAAATACTGGGATTTGCAAAAGAGGCATCATGAACTGTTTACCATAAAATCAGCCGCTTGTAAAAATCAATACCACAATCCTTAATAAACATACTGCTGGAAATTATACCAATTAATGAGCAGCTCAAACCCCTAAGAGTTAAGACCCAACAGCTCTCAGTGTCAAAGTGTTACTTTAGTATTAACATGGTTTCATCCATTTGATAACACATCAGAGGAGACATTTTTAAAATGTCTCTCTTTAATGTATCACCTTAATTTCAGAGGTAGAAAAGGTACAATTTCATCTCTTGGCTATCTTGCCCATTCTCATGATCTGAAACTGTTATTACAGCTTGGAAACTATGAGAGGAAACTAACTCAAGTGACTTTATAGTGTCCAGGATATTGCTGCTGCTGTACCATAGGCTGTCTGTGCCAGGAAGGCATGTCTCAGGGGGCTATCTTCCTGGATCAATGCTTGACAAGTTCACAAGCTGCCAGTAAAGGCAGCCTTTTTGCTGGCTATCACTTATCAGTTTGGTGTGTATTAGATCAAAATTTCTACCCAGATGTAGCTACATCCTCCTTTCTGTGTATCCTCTAAAGCACTTACTCGAGTGTTAGGCAGACCTAAACACTGAAGGACAAGTAGCCAGTGATGAAGCCCGAACTGAACAGTCAAGCTGAACACATTTGTATCAGTCATTACTTAAATGAATCTTTTGTGCTGTCATTGAGAACAGGCTTCTGTACCCTATGACTTGGCTTCAACAGTTGGTATAGGGCATGGCTATCTGGAAAGGATTTCTTGCTCCAACCTGTCACTTGGCACATTTTAACTCCAAACATATAATTAGTAACTAACAGTTATGGTGTGCTAGATGAAGTTGGGCATGTCTATAACCAGTGCTCATGAGGCAGACAGGAGAATGGCGGGAAGTTGGAGGGCAGCCTGATTGATCTACAGAGTGAATTCTAGGCCAGCCAGGGATACACAGCAAGAACCTGTCTGAAGACCAAAAGAAGTTAAATGTTAACCATATTTAAATATGGTTACATAGCCTTACTCTGACATCATTTAAATTCATTTTACTTTTCTGAAATGAGGTAGAAGATAGTAATCTTCAGTATACTGATGCCCAGTCAAGTAGTCCCAAGAGAGAACAAAATTATACCCTCAGGCTGGCAGAGTTCTGGAGGCAAACTGCAATCCTTATCTGACTGAAGTTCCTTGTATTTGAAACTGCTCTTTTCAGTTGAAGTCATCGGACAATACAGAATCTGAAAAATCGGTAAGGATCAAACAGCACTTAACATGCTGTTTTCATCACCTCAACTGCTATCACAGGCCTGTTCACGTACTTCATCAGACATGTACAAGGAGGCTAAAGACCCCTCTAGTAGTAGAAGCAAGATAAAAGGAATGATTCACATTTAGAAGAATGTAATATGTACCTCAGAAAATCTAGCAGCATTTCATTCTACCAAGATATACAAATTTGGCTCCACTGACTAGTCAAGAACGAAGGAAAAATGTATACAGGTCCAAAAAGGCTCTTTACGCAGGGGACTGTGAGGCTATGACACATACTTTTAACAATTAATTATATCTCTGTTAAGTGCTATGTGAAACTACTGGGATGTCTATTTCAATGGCAGAGAGGCGGGAACGTGATGAATAGGGCTGTGAGTAAGTGTGCATACTGGGAGGATGAGAGTAAAGTGGTTGCCAGAAAGGAGAGGACAAAGATTTGCATGCACAATACCAAATGAACAGAAGAAGAGCAGTCATAAACAGACCACCTGAGCTAGCAATAGTGACAAACACTGCATAGTCAAAGGTAAAGACTGGCTCAAACTTCTTGTTGAGATGAGTGTTGTAAAAGATGGCCCAGATGGATGGCGAGAGGCTCACAGTGCCTGCCAGGAAAAACAGGAGTCCAGCCACCAGGTGGCAGCCTGCACTATTGACCAGACACTTGGCCAGTTTGATGTTAGGCACTGAAGACTTGAAGGCCGTGTTACACATTCCAATCAAGCAGAGTAGCAAGGCACCCATTGCGATGAGGATGCTGAGTGGCAGGGCAAACTGGAGGACACGCAGGTCCAGCTGGTCAACTGATAAGTACCAAGTATGGTCGTACATCAAGCAGTCACTGCTTCCATCGTACCGGGCACACTTTACCCACAGGCCTGTGTAAATAGTCAGGTTCTTCTCATTTCTGTTGAATGTGATCAGTCGCAATTTCCTCCAGTTGGGAAGCAGAGTCCCTGCGAAGAGGCCTGCTACAGAGGCAATACCACACAGGAAAGAGAGGACTGTGGCTGCGTGGACATCTCGGCAGCCCATGGCAGGTAGGCTTGAGCAGTGCGGTCAGACTAGGGGTGACACACAGAGGGCAAATTAGGCAGAGCAGGCGAGCACAGCTAGAGCTGCCCCCAACCAGCGAAGTGATAGTGTAGAGGGCACTTGTGCAGAGTTTGCTGGCTCATGCCTATAATCCTAGCACTTCTGAGGCAGGATGACTGCAGTAAGTCTGAGGCCAGCCTGCTCTCTATAGTGAGTCCTAAACCAGATCCTACCTCACCCCCACCCCTCCCAAAAGAAAGAAGAGAAAAAGATGGAAACTTCTGTTTTCTCACTGTACAACATGAATGTACATCAACACACATGTCCCGGATCAGGTGCACACACACACACCTTGTCATCACTGTGTCACACAGCAACTAAAATCTTTAGCCATCATCATTTTTCTTCATAATTAAGTACAGCAACATCACACCTAAAATTTTTGGTTAATACTCATTCAACATACATATATGGATCACTTTCTCTATCAGGTGTACAGTGAAAAAGGGGACCTTAAGCACAAATACTTCAAATTATAACAAGGACTAGAGCACTCAATAACTAATAGCTGGCTACAAGCCTACAGATTGAGCATAAGTGCTCAAGCCGATGCAAAGTGAGACTTGGGCAGCAGGTGAGTGGCCCACAAAGGAATGAGAAAGCCTGGCAGGACAGCAGGCTGTTAGGAGCTGACTGACAAGACATTCCCTGGGCCTTTATTCCTTATAAGAATTCAGTGTCTACCTGACAGGTTTGCCCCCCAGGGATCCAATGTGCTCATGTAAGGTCAAGTGCTTAGAAAACTGATGCACTAGCCGGGCGTTGGTGGTGCATGCCTTTAATCCCAGCACTCGGGAGGCAGAGGCAGGAGGATCTCTGTGTTCAAGACCAGCTTGGTCTACAAGAGCTAGACAGCCTCCAAAGCCTCAGAGAAACCCTGTCTCGAAAAACCAAAAAAAAACAAAACCAAAAAAAAAAAAAAAAAAAAAAAAGAAGAAAGAAAGAAAACTAAACGCACTGTGTGAAGTTGCTGTTTGGGATGAATACTCAGTTACTGCCTTTGTGCTGGACCAGTGCTCAGCACTCGGCACACCACAGTCGTTTAAACGACATTTGCTGAATGAATGCTAAATGTAAGAAAAGCAAATTCACCTCACTGCTATAATTTTGGCATACCAGGAAATTACTAGAGGTGAAATGGGCTCTTTCCAGTGAAATCAGACAAACAGGAGAACAAAAGCCCTGGGGTTTCTGTTTATCTACTTTGTGGCTGATTCAATCTGGTCCAAATGCTTTTCAGGGCAATCTCTAGCACTTGGTGGCTATAAAGCTATTAATGTTTGTGGATGATAAATGTACTCTGAAAGTACAAAACCTATCTCTGCTAATGCTATTGTAACAGAAACAACAGCCAGGCCTTTCTCTCGCTGTATTCTTTTCTTGTGTATGAGTAACTATGTAAACCAGTATCTGATTCGAATTTAATTTTTTTTTTTTTTTTGAGTTTGCAATGCTCCTCAGAGCACCACTCAAATATATTTTCCACCAGGAGGCAACAGAGCAGACAACTTTCAGGGCTACATTACTTCTGTTGTTGCTCAAAGCTAGGAAGGGGTGAAGTTGAGAGTAACTTTTATTTCTGATACAGTATCATGATGTTCACAGAATCCATCATCTTTTCCAGAAACAAGTATTCTCTACTGAGATGGTACAGGAACACTCCCAGGAAGATAACCATGATGAAATGCTAAGAAACTAGGTTAGTACATGTTTCAGTGAGCAAGCACAATGTTCTTTAGAAAACAGTGCTATGTGCATATGTTATACAGACATAAATTAAGAATAGTTTTACTAACAAAAATTCTATGCCTGTGTATTCAAACAATAATACATAATTAAGTGTATATACTATGAAAACAGAGCTTGGCCATGAAATGGCCTTGAATTAGATTTTCAAAGTAAACAAGAGTACTTCTAAGTTTTCCCATAATTAGCTACTACTTGTTACATTGCCTTCTGTCAATATCAGAAGTTGTAACTGTTCCAGAAAATTTTCAGAATAAAATGGCAAACTACAGTTTAGCTTTCATGCAAATAAAAAAAAAAAATCCACCTCTCTTGCTTAATTTTAGCAACAAAGAATCAACACTTTGGTGCAGATTTGAGAATGCTTGCATTGGGAATGCCTGATGAGGCCAAGCTCCAGAACTCAGTTCCAGTTGTTTTTAAACAGGTTTAAAAAACCTGTTTCCCCACATACGCTAAGCCACTTGATAGTGCCTGCCACACAAGTCATTCTAGGGTTATATGAATAAGCCCATGCAAAGCAGTTCACAAGTGTGGGCTACACAAAGAAATGGCCATGACTTAGAAGTCACTTGCTCAATAAGTATCTGCAGTGTGTGACACATGGAAAATACCCTGAAAGGACAAAAGATCATTGGTCTAGTTGCTAATGAAAATACACTGTTCCATGCAAACTCCAAATACTGGTGGTTAATCAATTGTATAATTGCTATGTATTAAGTAATTATTGTTATATATTAAACAACATAAGTCAGTAAACCTTTTATTAAAAAGTTATTGCCCCGGGTTAGATAAATACTGAGCAATGAGAAGATTATTCCTGTTTCTTTAAAGCTTCAAGACTCCTTCAGCTAATCCTCTCAAACTCTTAATTCAATCACAATTTCATTCTTGCTTCCAGAGGTAGGAACAGATACTTACAATTTCAAAGTAATTAGTTATCTCTCCCAACAGTGTCCTGTACTACCGATTCCTGCAACCCAAAGGCAATGAGGAACAGGATCAGTGTATGTAGCTTTATTAATACTTTCCTGTAATCCTTCGCCTACAGACAAACAATATTAATGAATATGGACAGACCAACATTCATTTCAATACTCAAGAGTATTTAACTACACCCTGCTTCAAGACAATGTGACTTCTGCATCAGTTCTCTGAACTGGCTATGGTGCTACAAAGACTAACAGTTTTATACAGTCAACAAAGACACCATGAAATGTGTTTCAGAAGGAGGACATTAGTAATCTCAAATCTTCAGGTTCAACCCCCACCCCCATGCTGAAATTAATGCTTACCATCTTACAACTTCCTTTGGACATCTCATGTTTTATCCTGTTATTAACTCTACCTATCTATAATTTGATGTCTCATTGAACTCGAAGATAATGTTTTATAGGGTGATGGGGAAAGGATATATTTACTTTTAAAATTAGAAAAATACTGCTGTCTTCCAGATTATGACTTACTCATGTGTGAGAAGATAAAAAGACTTCTACTCTTGTGCTTTGTCAATCAGTTCTATATCCAGATTTTTTTTTTTTTTTTTTTTCCCCCGAGACAGGGTTTCTCTATGGCTTTGGAGCCTGTCCTGGAACTAGCTCTTGTAGACCAGGCTGGTCTCGAACTCACAGAAATCTACTTGCCTCTGCCTCCCGAGTGCTGGGATTAAAGGCGTGGGCCACCAACGCCCGGCTCAGAAAAATCTTGAGATGCAAATCTGTCACTTCGTTTCTTTCCACTCAGTAGCTTCCCATTTCCTGAACACTAAAGACTCTAAAAGCCTCCCACCTTCCACAGTGCATACCAGCGGGCTTTTACTTCAACTCACAGCTCTTACTCGGCCTCTCTCACCTTATAAACCTGTCTATATAACCACCTTTCCAAATTCTCTACTTTTTAATTTAATTAAGAGCTTGACCACACGTTAATCCTCCAAACTTCTTTTTAAGATTTATATTTCATGTGTATGGATGTTTTTTCTGCATGCACACAGTGTCTGAGAAGACCAAAAGAGGGTATCAGCTCCTCTGAAACTGAAGTTATAGATGGTTGTGAACCACATCTGGGTGTCGGGAACCAAACCAGGTCCTCTGGAAGAGCAGCAAGTACTCTAAACTGCTAAACCAGCTCTCCAACCCTCTAAGAATTTTCTTAGCCCCACCCCATTCTTTGTTAACTGATATTGGGGTCATCTGCTTGGGAGACCTGCCTAACCATCTCCCTTTCTGTTCCATGGTCTTCCCCATCCCTGGCTGCATGATGTGAACAGCACTGTTTTACTTTTTCTTTATTCTCTCTTCCGAAGCGGTGACAATGCTCATGACTCCTTATTTCCGTACTGTTCTTTCTCAACAGATGGAATTTCAGGCCAGAGATCCCTGCTTTGTTCATTGTGCTTACTACTGGCACACAGGAGCGCGCTAACTGAAGGAATAAACACATGGCTGTCCATATGTATCTAGCTGGGATACAGACAAAACCATAAATTGGTTTAGTGCAAGTTCTAGTCATTTCATTTCATTTTATTTGGGACAAGTCACCACATCCTATTCTTGGAAACACTCAGGCTGTTTCTAGATTGCTTGTTTTCTGCTCCTTAAGGCCCAAAAGTCTCTCTAATTTTGTAAAGGAAAACCAAAAACGTTTATCTGGCAATAATGACAGGTTTATTTTTGGAGTGGTTACTGACCAAATCAAATACTCTGTTCCAAAACAGCACTTCATATCTGTCACCTGTGTCAAAATGACTTTCACAGAAGAACATTTGGTAGACACATTTTATCAATGATACAATTTTGAATAAAAAATATTTTCAAAGGATATTTTCTCTGGTTTTGAAGAGAGTTCAAGGAAGGCTGATACAGAAATAGTGGCTAAGAGCTTTAGGAATTCACAAACCCATTATAATCTTTTCAGTGGCAATTCCAATGAATCACTTCAAAGAATGTATGTCTCACAGCCACTAATTTAATTCTTGATGTTAACACTGGCCATCCCTTCTACCTGTAATTTTGGTTTTCTTGGAAACCGTAATCATCAATCACTGTACCAAAAGGGTCCTATACTGTTACCCTGTTGATGAAGAAAGAGAAGAAAAGCACTGCTCCCAACAGTCAGCAGATAAAGGGAAATGTTATATAACCAAAGGACACTCACCTCTTAGTGTACCCAATCCTCCAAAATCGGCTTATCCAACTTAAAAGAAACAGGTGCACAGCTGCACATAAAGTAGAGATACTCTGGGCCTACTAAAACAGGAAATGCTCCAAATTATTACAGCACGTCTCTAAAAATTCTATTTTAATTCTTACAGAAGCAGAAAAAAATTAGTAATCATCTAAACCTAATAAAATGCTACAGCAAAACAGGCAGGCAATAAACTTTTCAATAACACAGTTTAAGGTTAGCTCAGTGCTAGGATGCTCTCCCATCATGTAGAGGGCCCTAGGTTCAAACGCCAGCACCCACTAAAAAGGAAACAAAACAACAAAAATATAGATGACCTATCCTTACATTCACTGTTACATATGAGCCCCGAAAGAAAAATAACTCTTACTTTGTGATTAGAAACTTCTGGATAATTAAGGCTAAAAATGAAAACCACTTCACTGCTTAGAAATCTATGAAAAAAAATTAATGGATTATTTTTTCCAAGATCCAGTTCATGACTATCATGAAATAACCAGAATGATAAAAACACTATACAGTTGTCTTGGAATTAAAAGAAATGCAGTGTTTTCTAAAATGTTTAAAAAACGGTACTCACAATAAAACCAGATAAAACTGATGTGCACTGCTCATTCTAAAATTTGCAACCGGAGTGTTCTTTATGCCTTATGCTATCTCCCCTGGCTCAACCTGCCATTTCAAGATGTGTTTTCTATCTCTAAACAGGAGTGGCTTCCTCTTTAAGTAATATTTAACTCAAACAGGTAGGATGAGTGAAACTCATAAAGGCCTGCGAGCTGCCTTGGACTGGGGCATTTGTCGCTGGTGTTATTAAAGTAATTAGGCAGGATGTGGCCTGCCTGAGTGCTGACTCTGGTCAAGGTTCCCCACCTCCCATGTATGATTCTTCAACTGTTGCCAAGTGTGATCACTTTACAATCCCTAACACCACCAGGACCCCTGGGTGACCTTTCACGGTGATGACACCTAGGGTGGCGGTACCATCACTTGGAGACTGGCCCTTTTCCAGCACAGAGCGCTGGGGGTGGGGGTGGGGGCAGCAAAGCCATCTCGCTCGCCCTCGCCGCAGCTGCTCGCCCCAAAATAGCAACTTGCAGCTCGCGCCTCACACCGCCGCCCACCCGCTCCCGGCCCTCAGCTACCCCAGCAACGCGGCCCCGCATTCCCCACTCCTCTGAAGGGATGGAAATGCTCTCAGGCTCCATCAGATACCTCCGCAGCCGGCTCCCCGCCGCCTCGCCGTCTCTCACACACCCGCGACAACTTGCAAGGGACGCCGAAACGGGAGCGTTCCTGAACACACTTACCGTCTCCTCACGGCCCGAGCATCCCGCTCGCCCACTCGGAGCGGACTCGCGCCGCGTCTCCCTCCGCGGTCGCGGAAGTGCGTCCCCGGCGAAGCCGCCCCGGAGGCTTCAGGGAGCCAGTCAGGCTTTCCCCGGGCCCTGCTCAGGAATTCCTTGGCGACGCAGAACTACAGTTCCCAGCATCCACCGGGCCGCGGGCCACAGGCCGCCTCCTGCCACCACTCCTCCTTCCGGGTCCCGCCTCCCTCGCTTCCTCTTGCACCGTTACCGCTAGGTTTATAGGAATTAGCTTAAAGTGCAGTCACCGCACACGCGTGAAGCACGAAGTTGAGAATCGTTGGAGTCCTCGGTCAAATGATGTCCATTAGATGCAAATTAATAACCACACAGGTTTACAAGAGGCCCATTGCATGTTACTTCTGCGGTTATCTAAACAATAGGCAAAATATAATCTACCACAGCAGCTTCTTTCGTAAAACTAATTAGTAGGTACTTAACTTGACTCTTGTACACATCAACTATGCTCTCTCGTCTTCTCTTTAATATGAGTCCCGTGCAGGTAAATACCTCAAAGGATTTCTATACAGTATACGATTATTTAAAAAATAAGATTGAAGAAATATGACGCCTATGACTTCCAAAGGATTCCATCCACTGCACCACACACACACACAACATACACACACACAAATGGAGAAACAAAAACTGTGGTCAGTGTGTACTTCTTTTATTATTTATAACTTTTCATACATTCTGATTATATTCTCATCTCCCCCAAGTCTTCTGAGCTCCCACTTTCCTACCCACCCAACTTCATGTTATTTCTCAAAACAAAAACAAAACCGACCAAAATCTCAATTAGACAACAACAAAAATATACCAAACCAAATCATGACGAAAAGCACACAGAAAACATGGTGTCTTGTTTTGTGTTAGCCAGCTACTCTTGTGGTTGGTGTCAGCTGGAGAAAACGGATCTCTTTCCCAGCAGCTATCAATTGCAAAGAGCTTCTAGGTTAGGCAACAATTTTTTAATCTAAGCAAGTACGGTAATGTTCCTTATATTAGTCATCTAAAGGTTCTATACTTCTCAATTGCAATTTTTCAGAAAGAATAGAAAGCTCACAGTTGACACAACTGTAAAAGATCTCGTCCATTTCTGTTCTACTCTGCCCTGGTGTGACCTTGGACAACTAGACTCTCCCGGCCTTACAGTCTCCATTTGTAGAACAGTGTGTGTCTACATCAGATAATCATGAGAATTAAATTCATTTTATAAGGAATACACAGAAAAGTACAATAGTATTAGACACACAAGGACTTGGCTATTAATAGTTTCCATTTTGTGTTGCTATGGTAACAACTGGCCTGTTACTCAAAGAGGGGGGAAATCTATTATCTGTTCACTTCTGTCCCTGAAACCATCAGCCTCCAACCAGACCTGGAGGAAATGGGTCTCTAGTGCACAGGTGTTGTCACCCGGCTCTGGTTTCTGGCCCCACCTTCTCTGCCTTCTGGGTGTGGATGAGATGCCTCATGACCCCTCTCCTCACATGCCTGTGGCACCACGATGGGCTGGACATCTCAAATGTGAGCCAGAGTAAACACTTCCTCCCTGTCCCTCTTGGCAGGTCACAGTTTGTCACAGTGACAAGAAAGGTAACACCACCCTGTCTTCAGAATCATCAGTAGCCGACCCAGGCTTTTTCACCGGTGTTCTGAAACTTCCTCTTCCACCTTAAGAACCCTGGTGATGACTTGGGCACACCCAGATAACACAGGCTGTCACAATTTTATGTCCCTGATTACCAAGTTCAACCCAAACCTTACCCCCCACATACACACCTTGATATGTAAGATGACTTGTTCAGATTCTGGAGAAGAGGATGGGGTCACCTTCAGGAAATATTATTCCCCCTTTCATATTCCTAAGAATGGGTTCCATGCCAAATCAAAAAATCTGCTTTTTCAGTTTTAATTTTCCCCATTCCTTCTTTTATCACTTCTTCAAACAACTTTTCCTTGAATTTGAAAATGCTGCCATTTCTAATTTCCCTCATTAGTTCCTTGCCAACCTTTTGCTTTCATTTTCTTCTACCCAATCTCTAATATAATTGGCAACAGGCTTGGTCTTCCTCTCCTCCTTCAGTCAGTACACTTTCTTGGAGAGGAACAACCTATTTTCTCCAATCCATGTCTTTGGCCCACACTTGCCATCACTTTAGTATATAGCTACTACCAGTGTTTGACTGCTATTGCTTCAATTTCAGCCATTTGCTAATACCAATTAACTGTACTCACTATGGTATTCACCAATTCTTTACCCTGTGAGTAGTTTCACTTTATTACCTATTTCCATTGATGTATTCTCCACACTTTACTTAAATTAGGAACCACATCTTAATTCCACCTTTATGAACAAAGAAAGCAAGGGAAGACAGTTCCGAGTAAGTTAAACACACAACACACTGAATGAACTCTTAACCACCCAGGTGTGGTGGCACACGCTAAATAGCTACTTGGCTGAGGCAGGATGATCATTTCAGCTCAGGAATTCAAATGCCTGCCTGGGCAGTGTAAAATGTGAATTAAAATAATAATAATAATAATAATAACAACAACAACAATAATAATAGAACACAGCACAGGAAAAGAGAAAACCATCTTTGGTGCATTTTCAAAAACTGTTAGGAATGAAGCATGACAGCATGTTTCATTGTATGTAGGTATATTGGGGATTGAACCTATGGACTCACACATGCTAAACATTCTGCCACTGAACGATATCCCCAACCTTAAAAAACAAAGCAAAATTGCATTCATTCACTTTCCAGTCAGGGTTATATGTAGCCCAGGCTGACCTTGTCTTTACCTTTCCTCCCACTGCCTCCCAAGTAGCAGTGATTAAAGAGCTGTGCTATCACACCTGTGGCACCTTCTAATCTGTAATAAAGTCACCATCTGAGGAGAGGATGGCACAGAAGAGTTTGTCTAGACTCGAGACAATAAACGCTTTGCTTGTACCTCTTTTCCGGTTTTTACACCTTTTAGTGTAAACATGACGACCTCCTGCCCCAGTTTTTAAAAAAGAGAATCATGTGTCTTAAACTTTTGAAGGAATACATTACAAATTTGGAATTATAACATGAATGGCCCTTTGAAACAGATTAGCTTTTATGGTCTATGTTTTATAGGAAAGTTCATCTGTGTTCATCATACAGTTCTTACTATTGTTCTTGATGCCAAATGGTAGCACTTCTGGGAAAGATTTGTTTTTGAAACTGAGGTTCAATTATTACATAGTACTCTTGTTTCCCCTATTACAGTGCAGCTGACTAGGGGCTTTTGCCATTTTATTTAATCATGTTTCAAATCCTTCCAGTCAGAAGCTTTTACTCAACATCTGTCCTTGATTTAAAACAGTCTCCATATCCTGCCTGCAATTTGTAGCAAACCATATAAAAATAGAAATAAAGGTATATTTTAGCTGTATTTTTATGTCTTCTTGCTTAATACAATAAAATTATACCAGTCTTTTCAAGTCTTTTTATATAGAAATAATGCCAAAATAATGTTTGATAACCAATAAAAAACAAAGGCATTGATTATAAAACACTGGCAATTTCAGAAAACCACACTGGAATATGGGGTCATGAACAAAGGAAGCTTTTGTTCTTTGCTTTCAACTTTGAGCACTCTGAGTTTAGAAAACAAATGTCATATATTGCTTCAAAATTAGTTATAATATAAACCACATATCCTGTTCTTTAAATTCCAAGTATTTCAAAGGTCATGATTCAGACAGTAGCTATGTTTCACCAGCTTGGTATCTGGGCATCCCAAAGACTTAATTTCTACTGTAGATACTTTAATGATATGTACAAAGAGGATAACTTCCTCTCCAACCTTCCAAGTATCTGGTAATTATTTATTAATAAACTGTCACATGGCGAGAACACTTAAAAATTATAATGTGCTCCAAATAAATGGGTGGGTATGGTCAGAAATAGTAGCTAAAAACCACTGCTGTCCTTTTCATACTGACCTAGTCAACAGAGGCAATGACCATACCTGTTTATCCACAAGGAATTTCCAATATTCAAAATTATCTTTCTTCTATCCCTCTTTCCATTTCTATTGTCTGCTTTCTATTCTCTTTCAAGTAGTCAACACCCACGCAAAGATAAAAATGAAGCCCCGATGGACATGTTCCCTCTACCTACCAATTATAATCAGAAAACAGAAAATAATCAGAAATATAATTAAGATATCTCACGCTGGGTGGTGGTGCACACCTTTAATCCCAGCATTCGGGAGGCAGAGGCAGGAGGATCTCTGTGAGTTCAAGACCAGCCTGGTCTTCAAGAACTAGTTCCAGGACAGCCTCCAAAGCCATAGAGAAACTCTGTCTGGAACAACCTCCCCGGACAAAAAAAAAAAAAATCCTCTTTAAGGAAAAATAAAACAATAGCCTGCTTTACTTTCCATTGATTTTGCAGTAGATAATGTCTCAACTGCTGATGTCAACAGACACCTCACTGGCTTAATTCTGTTATAAAATTTTGTAAAGCAGACTATTTTCCCAAATGTCTTTAAAAATAGACTATTTGAGACTCATAATGTTAAAAACATTTTTTTTTTACTTACAATTTTTTTTTTCTTTGGAGATAGTATCACTATGTAGTCTTGGTTGACCCAGAACTCACTTGGTAGATAAGGTTGGCCTCAAACTCATAATGTTAGCCTCTGCTGGAATTAAAGAATATGCCACCTTCCCAGCTTCTCAGAACATTTTTAAAGCCTTCCTATATGACCCAGCCAACATTAAAAAAAAAAAAAAAGACCAGGAGGAAATGTACTGAAGCATTTAGATAATACACGTCTAAGCATAGCCTATGGTACCTGTACTATTTTAGCTGATGTGACAAACAGCACAGTCCATGTACTCAGTCAAAATTCCCAAATTTGTCCCATTTGTTTATTCTATAAGTCAGATTTAAATCAAATTTGCAGTACTCTTAAGAACTAAAAGTATACATTAAACTTGTTATGTTCTTTAAACAAAATTTTATATTTTTTAAATAAGGTTTATCTTATATGTATTTCTATTTTGTTAATTTTTGAAAATTATAGTAAAACCATTTATGCTATTGTTTTGAAACATTTCCATCATTATAACTGAGCGTTTGTGGTGTTGGGAGTCAAACCCAGAGCACTGCATGTGGGGCAAGTGTTCTACCACTGAGCAACACCTGCAAGCACTGAAGCCCTTTTAATATACTGTCTGTCATTCTACACATTTTTCCATGAATGAACCTTTGCTGTCTTTTCAGTCTAACCTTACAAATTAGAAAACGTTTCGTGTGTTTATGTACTTCTTTGTATTTGTCAAGAGGAGATCTTTAGCTTTCATTTACTACCTCAGAAGAACCTCTCAATGTCTGGTTGCACGGCACCTGAGCTTGGTGGGAACAAACTTTACTGGAGAGCTGGGCAAGACCTGAGGTAGCACATACACCTCTGACACAGGCTGTTGTGTTATGAAAGCAGACTTGGGCACTGAGATGACTAGATGTGTGCAGACCTGAGCTTCATGCGTGCAACCCATCTAAAGGTGGAAGACTAAACAAAAAACAGAAAAACAAAACAACTCCATAAAACTGTCCTCTAACCTCCACACCTTCCTCCTACAGTTACAAATCAATAGAGCAGTATTTTTTTAAAAGCAGACATTTCTCTTTACATAGCTAATACATATTTATCATTTAAAAGGAAAATATCAAGAAGTAGATATTTTGAAAAGTAAAATGAATAGCTTTTGGGGGGGGAACAAAATTTAATTCAAGAAATGTTAAAGTATGTACTTCAAAGTAAATTAATTAGCCGCAAAGCTACTTTTTGATTTTTTTCTTTAATTGAACATGCCTCTGGGGGCTGGGGAGATGGCTTAGCCATTAAGTGTTATGCTCACAACTAAAATGAGTGCTTGCTATTCAAACATGAGGATCAAAGTTCGGATGCCAGCATTCAGTGTGGCAAGCCTGGCATCCTGCAAGTTCAGAAGGTCCAACCCCAGGCCTGACTTGCACATGCACAAGGGCGTGCACACAGGCTGGCTCACACATGCACACACATACATGTGAGTGCTTTAAGAAATCTAGGGCTTCTCCTTCTGTTTTGAAAAGAGGTAAACAGGCCATACCTTCAATAACTAGAAAATCCTAATAAATGGAACACAGAATTTGATAATTACACAATAAATCATGATCCGTGTTAGTAGTAGTCTAGGCATCACTGACAAGCATATGACTCATCATCTTCAGCAACTACATCCCTCAGGAAGGACAAAGCAGACCAGAGCAGACTGGTGAGTTCACCCCATGAAGCTGTCCTTGACACTCCTTGTCAGTGAGGAAACAGCAGAAAGGGGCACTGATGGGACAATGGCAACAACTTGGTGTAGACTCTCTCAGCCTCACTTTTGTGCTGTGAAGCAGGCCATGCCGCCTCCCTGTGGCTTCTGCTATGCAGTAAAGCAGGACCTGTCTGTTCTCTGTAGCCCACCATGTGTAATGCCTACACAGTGCTCAATAAAGTACCCGTGTAAGGAAGAAAAAAGCGATACAAGAAAAACTAGTCCAGGTACTACATGAGAGGTAGGCATAGCAAACAGAAGCTAGAACCAAACTTAAAAGAATATTTATAAAACGCACCCACATTAGCAAGTCAGGAGAAATTTAAGTCCAATCAATATACAATTTAAGAAAAAAACACTTTTTAAAAAAGGGGTCAGTTAAAAGAACTGCTACTATGCACTAAATTATCATATAATTCTTAACAAAGAAAATGTACTATTAAGGAAAGGGACTGGAGAGATGGCTCAGCAGTTAAAAGCACTGGCTGCTCTTGCAGAGGACCTGGGTCTGATTTCTAGCACCCATATGGCAGCTCTCAACTGTAGGTTAATGCCAGTTCCAGGGTATCCGACGCTCTCTTCTGGCCTCTATGGGCACTGCATTCACATGGTGCAGACTTCATTGGAAGCAAAACACCAGCACACAAAAGAATAAAATAAAGCATACTATTAAAGAACAACATTTTTGAGACATGGTCCCACTACAAAGTACAGACCAGCCTAGATTCCTAAGCGGCCCAGGAGACCTTCAGAGTCCCCCTCTTCTTCCCAAGTACTGTGGTTACAGGCCAGCACCACCACGGACCACCACACTATCCCGAGCTTATCCACCACTATTCCTGAGCTATCAGGAATGTTTTGAGCTCATATTGAGAATATATATATATATATATATATATATATATATATGTAAATATATATATATATATATTTCTTACAATGGTTCTTGTGGGAAAGCCTGAAGGGCCTCATGCTCCTGTATACTGCTTGCATTTTTTTAAAAAAGTGAATGTGTTTATTTTATAACAAGTTTCACCAAAAGGAAAAAAAAATTTCTATTTTTAAGTATTTAAATACTTTAATTAGAAATTAAGAAAATGTACCTTCCTGGAAGGCAGGCTCCCCCACCAATCAAGTGAATCATTTACTCTTCCTAGAAACTTCAAATGGCCAACACTGAAGTTTGGAAAAAATTGAAAAATAATGTGATAAAGATAGGGTAGTTGTGAGAAACTTTAACATCTAAGTACTCGTGTTTCCTGAACCTTTGACCCAATTAGGAATTCTTCAGACCATGAAGTTGAGCTCCCACCAATGGGAAGAGACCCAGTCACCACACACAACAGGGATAAAATATAGGAACATGTAGGTCTTGGTGTGCATGCTAGCCCAGTTTGGGTCTTGTGTATGCTTTTTGCACAAAGAAATTGCTTTGCTGTGTTAATACCAGAAGGAAAATTTCTTTTCTTGAATGATGATACCTGTATCAGGAAACCTACAGGTAAAGACTATCTTAAAAATATGGAAAAGCTTTCAAATTAGTATGACTGCAATATCATGTATCTTTATCATACACAGAGTGTTCTGAAATACAAAATCAAGCTAATTTAAAATATATTTTCTCAGACTTTTTTGTGGTCAGAACACTTAAAATCTACTTTCTTGCAAATTTTCAAAGTATGATACACTGTTCTAACTATAAACAACCATCTATATAACAGATCTGCAGAGTTTAACTGAAACTTTGTGTCTTTTGAACAACATCTCTTAACCCTTTATCTTCCCATCCTTAATAATGACCACTTTTCGGGATTTCTACTTGTTCAATTTGTTTTTTTAAGATTCCACATGTAAGGTGAGATCATGTGATATTTGTCTCGACATGCCTGCCTGGCTTCTTTGAACAGAATGCATTCCAAGCTCATCTGTGTTTCAATAACATGATTTCCTTCTTTGTTAGAACCAAATAGTAGTATCCCACCAATACATTATACTAGATTTAAATGCTGCCCTTTTGGGCAGCGGTAACAGCACACTTGATGTGGATCACTCTAAGATGCCGCACTGGAAATCTGCAAATTAAGCAACTGTTTCCGGTGATATGCATCATTGTCTTTGCTGTCCTGCTCGTCCAGTGACTTTCTTACACAGCTCTTCAACTCTTCAATCCCTTCCCCAGTAACTGCTGAGATGGGGATGATATGTTGGAACTTCACAGCCTTCTCTGGAAGCATGCTTTTTTCAAATAAATGCAGAAAATCTGAAACAAAGAACAAGTGGTTTTCATGGCCTTTTTAAAAATTAAGTGAAAACTACACAGAAGCAAGGAACTGACAAGTTAGCTCCAGGAACTCCTTCTCTCCTGCTCTGCCCTGTCTCAGTAGCCCTTGGGATCTTTGTGTTACTATTGGCAAGGGTGATTCTTAGTGCATGGTAAGTACTTGGTAAGTAATTGTCCAATTTATTCTAAACCAAATGAAGAATAAATATTAGATAAGTCATAACAATACTTAAAAGAATAATAAAATTTGCTTGAGGAGACTGAATGAGACAAAATAGGTACCCTGAAAGAAAGTTCCCATATAAACATTCTGCTTGCCTTAGCACACACACAAGCTTTAACTTCCTTCAAGCACAGGCTTAGCACTACTTAGGTCAAATAGCTCAAGGGCAATCATCCAATCAATCACCTCAGGGCTATCAGAGCTACATGACTTTCTTTATCTTCTCCATCACACCATGGCAGTGGGGTGTGAGGTGACAGACACAGCAAACTGACTGTTGTACAGACTAAAATGGGGACACTGAAATCATCATAGAGCCTGGCTTCTAAGAGTTAGACACCCAAGACAGACTCAAGAACTGTAGTATAGTCCAGAATATACAGAGACTCCTAGGTTAACCTCACTTCTAGTACCTGCAAGATCAACAAGCAAAGACAACTGCTGACCTAATAAAGCAAATGTCATTAAAGAATGACGACAAGGGGCTGGAGAGATGACTCAGAGGTTAAGAGCACCAACTGCTCTTCCAAAGGTCCTGAGTTCAATTCCCAGCAACCACATGGTGGCTCACAACCATCCCTTATGAAATCTGGTGCCCTCTTCTTGGTGTGCAGATATACATGGAAGCAGAATGTTGTATGCATAATAAGTATATAAAATCCTTTAAAAAAAAAGAATGAAGATGATTAGAAAGTATTTATGTCCCAGGACTAACTTATGAACTCAGGTACAGTTCTACATATACACCATGTAGGAAAATGATTTTCAAGAGAAGAAAAATGACCTTGGTGCTGTCTACTAAGCCTAGTTTATTAAAGTCTGTTTTCCTCAATTACCATTCCAGTGACAGAAAGGAGAGAAATCAGTATTCTTCCAAAGCAAATGGCCACTTGACATTTGTGCCACTTGCCCTATGTGCATGAGGTCTCCTACACCCCCAAGTTAAATCTTCACCACAGGGTAATACTGTTTTACAACAATCACTTTCCAACCTGTGGATAGTCTCTGGGTTGTTTTGAGTAAGAATGGCCCCTGTAGGCTCCTATGTTTGAATTTTTAGTCACCACAAGTGGAACTCTTTGCTGGAATTAGAAGGATTGGGAGGTGTGGCCTTGATGGAGGAAGTACATCACTGGGGGTGGGCCCAGTGTCTCTGCCTTTCTGCCTGTAGGTCAGGGTATAGCTCTCAGATACTGCTCCAGTGCCATGTTCCACCCTGCCCACTCCCATGATGATGAAGGACTAGGCCTCTGAAACTGTAAGCAAGCCCCAGTTAAATGTTTTCCTTTATAAGAGTTGTCTTGGTCATAATGTATTTTCACACAACAGAACAGCAACTAAGTCAATCCCTTTAAGTTTCTTTATGTAGTGGAAATATTTCCATTTAAGAAATTTCACACAAATCCTTTCAGTCACAGGACTGATTTTCTGAGTCACATAACCACGGGACTAAATGTTCTTTTCTAAAAACTAATATTCTTCAGAGTAACTACAATAATGTTAATAAAACAGAAAACCCCTTAAAACTACTAGCTCTTGGGCTAGAGAGATGGCTCAGCAGTCAAGGGCACTGGCTGCTCTTCCAAAGAAGCTGGGTTCAGTTCCGGCATGCTAATAACTGTCTGTAACTCCAGTCCCAGATCTGACACCTCCCACCGGGCATGTACATGGTGCAAGACATACATGCAGACAAAACAGCCATAAATATATAAAATCTCAAAAAAAAACCCCAACAAAATAAGGAAAACACCACTAGGTCTGTTAAAGCACAATGTGTAGCGGTGAGACAAAACTCTAGGGCTGATAAAACCTGCTAAAGTTTCAGAGTTAGTTGCTGTTTTTTCTTGTGTTTTGGCTTTGTTTTCTTTTTTTTTAAGTTTTATTTTATTTTCAGGAGGTCACGGTGGTATACAGCTTTAATCCCAGCACTAAGGAGGCAGAAGCAGGTGATCTCTGAGTTTAAAGCCAACCTGGTCTGCACAGTGATTTGTAGGGTAGCCACGGCTACATTATTAAAACCTGTCTAAAAATGAGAAAAAACAAAAAGATTTATTTTATCTTTTAGTGTATGAATGGATGTGTGGGTGTGTAGGTGTGTAGATGTGTGTATGAGGACAAGAAGAATCCAACCCTCCTGAGGCTGGAGTTCCGGGTAGTTCTGAGGCTCCTGATGAGGGTGCTGGAAACCAAACTCAGGTTCTCTACAAGAACAGCGTGTGCTCTCAATGGCTGAGACATCTCTAGGCCCTCTCTTTAAAGGTCCACATAAATTTTAATTCTTTATAAAGCCTAATCTTTTTGGATCAAAGTAATCTTTCTTTTCTTTCTCTAACTTAACTGTATTACTCACTTTGAGACTTGATAATGACTGGTCAATGCTATTTCAGAGCTTATATATTATGTGTTCTTTCCTTAAATATAGTTTCTAAGAGTAGAAAGTACTGGCTTTCTTTACCATTGATTTCTGCTTTTACTGGTCATACTAGTAGGCACCTATAATTCCTGGGAGGTGGAGACAGGAATTCAAGGTGGCAAATTTGAAGCCAGCCTGGGCTATAGGAGACCATGTCTCAAAAACTTAACCTCTCTACCAAAAAAGGAAAAAAAATCAAAAAGCTCCAACATTCTCTGCATACAGCTAGTACCGAGGACCACGAAAATGAATGGATGGTTCACCTGCAGGGTGCTGGAGCTGCTTCATCAGTTCGTCAAGTTTTACTTGGGCATCTGGCAAGTCCATCTTATTAACTGCCAACAGTGCAGGTTTTGTCTGCAGTTCCTCTTTGTATAACTCCAACTCCTTTAAATAAAAAGAAAAGCGAAATACTTTTCTAACAGTATATATAAAAATGAAGGTTATGGTGATCTTTCTTTAATGTCACAAGGCAATAAATCCCAGTAACTTTATATAAAACAAAGAAAATTCAGAAAGTGCTTTTTGTTAAACCCATGTGAATAAGACGTTAGCTCACATGACTTCCCAGAAGCAGCTGATTTTGTGCCTAGAGCTAAATGCAAGTAACTAGACTCAACAGAGAAAAGACTTATAGGCCAACAATTTAATAATGTTGCATTCTTAGAAAAGGCATATATATCTGGGAGTAAATTTCAATAAAGTTATGGGGGTGGCTATTGAATTAAAACAAAAAAGATTGTTTTTTTTTTTTTTTTTTTTGCCTCTTACTTACACCCAATCACAGATGCCTCATAAGTATACAGTGCATAACGTAAGCAAAAGATCTGGTTACCAATTAGAGATTTGGCAGTCAAAGGCACATTAACTGCAAGCAATGAGAAATAATGAGAGTAGGTAAGATTACAGAATAACTCTCAATAAGCTTGCTTAAATGGTAAGACAAGTGCTGGTATTGCAGCTTAATGGTGGAACGCTTGTGTAACATTCATGGTTTGATCATCAGTACCTCCAAAAGAGAAGGAAAAAAGTGAGGAGAGTTTTTAAGTGGAGAATGCTTCAAGAAGACAGACACCAGAGCAGAAGCAAGATAAGATGTGAAGGCTTGCGGAGCATAAGAGGGAGACACCGAGTAACGAGGAGTGGGTGAGTACTGAAGAACTGGAAAGGCAACTTCCATCCTTTAACTGAATAAAATCTTTAAAAGAATGGTTATTTTGGTTACTGTGGGCCTGGCACACATGGGGAACTAGCTACAGAACACAGTAAATCAGAAAACTTACTTTTGTAAGAAGTATTATAGTTTCAAAGGCAGTTCTGTATGGAGTTACAGAAGAAAGCTGAAATCCAGAAATATCAACCTAAAAAGAGAGAAGAGAAAACCCACAGCATAAAACAGTTACTCAATTCTATGCCTAGCAATGTCTTCTCTCTCAGTAATTTCAAAGAATAACTTCTCAATCTATATTTTACTGGCAATTTAGTCATTCAGTGCAAGAACAGAAATTGAGTTGTCACAATAACTATAAGCAATACTATAAAAGGAGTCACTGATGAAAAACTAGTACAGATAATTGCTATCAATATAAGCAATCTCTTCCATAACTCAAGCATCACTAATTAAGAATGAAAGAGATACTTCTAAGAGTATGCCAAAATCTCAAGGAATCAAATCTTGATAACTATGGCCAAATGTACAATTGCACAATAGCAACAGCATTTCATGCCTATACTGAAAACAAGTATTACATACTGACTTGTCTCCTATTTAACAGGCTTAATGGAGTGACATTTACTAGTACAGTGCACTGTCTAATACCAGGGCCGCATTCTGAAAACACACCCAATGTCTTATCACTATATGAATTTACAGAGTATGATCATGCATCTAAGATGGCTGTGGTGTCACCAGGTAATAAATCTTTTGATGCCTCCATAAGATATATAACATAGTCCATCAATGACGAAAGTAGGATTTTTGCGGCACATTATCTCTTCAATCTTACTTACAAAGTATTTCTAGGAAAACCAAGTTATTTCATTTGGACATCACACTGGTATGTGTATGACTTACAACAAAAAGCAGCTGTCTGGTTCTCTCTAAATGCTTGAGGAATTTGTGGCCCATTCCTTTGTTCATGTGTGCTCCTTCTATCAAACCTGGGAGATCTGCTACTGAAATCTAATACAAATTAATGACTTAGTGAAAAAAAGAAATAGATGAAAACAAAGTTCAATTTATTTCCAAATTTTCAAACTTCAAATATAGTTTCTAATTAATCACTTTGAAGTAAACATGTTAAAATCTTTTATCAAATATTTGAGCCCAGCAGGGCATTGGTGGTGCACCCCTTTAATCCCAGCACTCTGGAGGCAGAGGCAGGCAGGTCTCTGTGAGTTCGAGGCCAGGCTGGTCTATAAGAGCTAGTTCCAGGACAATCTCCAAAGCAATACAGAAAACCAAAATAAATAAATAAATAAATAAATAAATAAATAAATAAATAAATAAATAAATATTTGAGTTCCATTTTAACTCGTTAGTTTAATATTTATTACTTTAACAGTTATTAGTGAGGTAAGTGTGTTATTTTCTTTTCACAAATAACTCAAATAAATAGTGTGCACATACATATGTTTTAATGTATCTTTTGGCCTCTTTCACTGAGCCTTTTCATGGCTTCATAGTCCATTAATCTTTAGAACAGACTATTCCATTCTTCAGATGTAACAGTTTACCCATTCACACAGGAAGAGATTCCTGATTGTTCCCAAGTTCTAGTAACTATGAATAAAGCTGCTAGAAACACCCAAGTGCAGGCTTCTCTGTATATAGAAAGCATAGTTCTTCCTTATGAAGAATGTAAAGCAAACCTCAATGAAACCTCTTCCCCAGAAGCAGAAAGTTGGAATGAAAGTTTCCACAGAAGCACTATAGTTTCTATAAGACATACTTTTGGGAATTGGAGATTAACAGTTCACTGAGGTAGTAAGATATGGGTATATCTGACAAGATACAGACTAGGAAGACATAATTCTATAGGGATGACGTAAGCATAACATTTGGAAGAACAAGAATACATTTGTCTGATGGCGGATGACCTTCTGTATATACGTTTCTCTTCTGAGTTGATGAATAAAACACTGATTGGCCAGTAGCCAGGGAGAAAGTATAGGTGGGGCTTATGAGATGAGGAGAATTCTGGTGAGAAGATGAAGAGAGAAGCAGCCAGAGAGACTCCACATAGAGGCAGAAGGAGTAATATGCTGGGGCATTACCGGGTAAGCCACGAGCACATGGGAATACTTAGATTAATAGAAATTGGTTAATAGTTAGCCAATAAGAAGTCCTACCCATCGACCAGTTTATAAATTAATGTAAGACTTTGTGTGTTTATTTGGGGATAATCGGCTGCAGGACCAGTCAGAACAGGAACTCTGACTACACTTGTTTTTACTATAATAAGGCTGAACAGAATTCTTTGTTCATAGTTTTACTTATCATAAAACAAGAACAGCAAAACCCTCTTTGTTTTTTCCTCTAAGACCGTGGACACATGTAAATATAAAAGTCCTATTACCTAGCTGGAGAGATGGCTTAGTCACTAAGAGCACATATTGCTCTCACAGAGGATCCAAGTTCAATTCCAAGCACCCAACTCAAGTAGCTCACAACTGCCTGTAATGCCACCTCCAGTGACTCTGATACCCATCTGACCTTATACAAACATACACAAAAATAAATAACAATATTTTTTAAAGGTCTACTACAAAAAAAAATTGAAACTTCTAAGCATGTATTGTGTTTCCCTTTAAATACCAACCTGTTTAAAATCACTATACATAATCTTTCCAAGTTCAGGCCTTAGTGTTGTAACTGAAAGGAAAAAGAACAGCAAATAAAGGAAAAAAATAAAAGACTAATTTTCTAGAAAATTGTCAACATTGTACATAGAATGAAAATTATGTGCCTTCTGAATATTTACTCCCATTCTAATTTGTTGAAAGAGACGCTGCAGTTTTCTCTGTCATTCACATCATACTTTTATAAAGACAGACTTCTGTGCTCTGGCCTGGGGTGCTATTCCATGCCAGGGGCAAGTTGAGAATGTTTAGGGGCTCGGAATTTAGGTTCTGATCACAATCACTGATTCTGCAGTAAAAATGTTTTCTTTTCTCCTTAAAATTTCATTACTTTTATGCATGTGTTTCTTTACTGGGAGGAACTGCATGGAACAGTTTGCATGTGGAGGGCAGAGAACAACCTACAGGACTCCCTTCTGGACTTGCACCAAATGGAAATACAACGCAGGGTTTAGCAGCAAGAACCTATGCACTAAGGCACTTCACAGGGTTAAGTAAAATTCCTCTAATTCATTTTCATTTGAGTTGTTCTTCTTATGCCTTGCCCTCTCCGGGGACTTCTTTTGTCTTTCCTTCTGTCATGGCTAATCCAGTTTGTCAACGTGACAAACGCAAGGAAGGAGAACCTCAACTCAGGAGTTATGGGCCTGTAGGCATGACTATGTGATATGTGTGTATGTATATGTGTATGTATGTGTACATATATAATTTTTAAATTGCTAATTGATGGAGGAAGGCCTAGTCTACTGTGGGCAGTGCCACCCCTGAACAGATGGTCCTGGGTTATATAAGAAGGGCAACTGAGCAAGCCAGAGAAGCAAGCCAGTAAGCAGCACTCCTCTGTGCATCAGTTTCTGCCCTGAGGTCCTGCCTTGGCTTCCCTTAGTTATGGGTTATAACCTAGAAGCCAAACAAACCCTTTCCTTCCCAAGTAGATTTGGTCATGGTGTTGATCACAGCAAGAGAAAGCAAACTAGAATACCTCCATGCTTATTCTATGGAGTCTCATTTGTTATAACACTGACTATGTAACTAACAGCAATTGTCCAAAATAAACTACTTCATCAGATTCTAAGTTTTGAATGGATTAATCTTAGTTTCCAGATTAATGCCATTTTGTGCTTTTTTGTTTAATAATGGCAAATAATTCTATTAGATTTCCTCAAAACCTTTAACCTAATCTTTCACTGTATTATCTATTGCACTAGCATACTAACCAAATTCATTAATGCTTTATGCCAATCAACTTCTATATTATAGGCTAAGGGAATTTTTGGAAAGTCTATTTTATCCCTTGAATAAAGTCTTTCAAATACTCTTAAGATATTTAATAAGATAAAAGACAACCCACATAGTCTATGCAATTTGCTCTGATTTTAATCTCACTTCTGTCTCTTACTTCATTTTCTCTAGACAAACTTCTTTGTAATTACTAAGCCGTGTACAGGCTGCTTTCATGACTTGAAGATACTTTACCTCTATTCTAAGGCATTAATTAATCAAATTATTATTCATAGCTTGGCCAAGCACATTCTATTAAGAAGGTCTACACTTACCTACACTCTTTAACAAAACACTTTAGGGGCTAGAGAGATGGCTCAGAGGTTAAGACCACTGGCTGCTTTTCCAGAGGACCTGAGTTCAATTCCCAGCTCACAACCACCTATAATGAGATCTGGTGTTCTCTTCTGCCACTTTCATTCCCTTAGAGATCAATCAGTGAGATGCACACACACACACACACACACACGAGAGAGAGAGAGAGAGAGAGAGAGAGAGAGAGAGAGAGAGAGAGAGTGCACGCGCACACACACACAAATGTGCGCATTCCTTTCTCCTCTAGTCTAAGAATGAATATAATTGCTGGTTTTGCTTATCAGTTTTTCTAGCAGTATAGCCTAATAATGGTTTCTAGAAATAAATCCTTATAAAATTAATAAAATTGTTCATCTGTTTTCCCAGTATTTATCAAGTGTGTAACAAGAGCTAAGCAACTTATAAAATCGTATATACAAAAAAAAAAAAAAAAAAAAAAGGTATATAAACCAAATGAGTGATTGTGCAGAGAAACAAATGCAGCGAGGTTCCTAACAAGGACAAGAAACTTTTGTGAGGATGGTAGTGTTCTGAAAGAATAAAAGAAATGCATGGATTCTAACTGCTGAAAATTTTCAAATGAAAGCTGAACTCAGATTTTTATTATTCTTATGAAAAGAAAACTTACCCTCACATCATATTAAAATACACCAATTATACTTACATGCATAATCTGCAATCACAGGCTTTGCATGGGACACCCGACTTAGTAAAGAGGATTTTCCAGCATTTGGGAATCTGAAATAATATATTATATGTATGCATTGTAACAATATAATGCATATATCTATTATAACAAATACTAATAGTTGCTTATTTCTGAATTCCAAACATTTCAAGTGTTTACTGCTCTAGTTGGTAGTGTGAATCTAGGAGAGCGGGGCCTAAAAATGAGATGGACTAAAGTCTCATGCAGTAGCCAACTTTATTCAAAATATTAGGCAATTTATAGTCTGAGAGGTAAGATGAATCACATGAGTAAGGTATCCAATCCCAAGGACATGCCACCCATGGCAAAACCATGAATAACAACAGCTGAAGTCAATTCACTCCTGTCCACTACACCTGGGAGAGTGTGAAAACACATTCCAAGAACAATTCCATGTTTTGAAGAAACCCCGAGGTCACAAAACTCTTGCCTTGTTTTCTTGGAATTTTCTCATAAGCACTCAGAATTCCCTCAAGTGGCTTCATTCTTGGACTGTGTTCCAACATCAAGTAGCATTAAAGGTACACACACCTTTAATCCCAGAATTCGGGAGGCAGGTGGATCTCTGAGTTTAAGACAGCATAATCTACAGAGGCAGTTCCAAGACAGCAAGGATACATAGAGAAACCGTGTCTCAAAAAGCACCCCCACAAAAGAAGTAGATTTCTTCAGTATTTCTGGAGTTAAGATTAGAATACAGGGGTGCAGCAGCTTAGTAGCAGAATGTGCACTTTGTATTCAAGAGGCCTAAGAGTCAATTCCTCAGTCCTTCTCCACAAAAGGCTGGAAGTCCAAAAGAACACTGGAAAACTTGAGAAAATACACTGATGAATAAAGTACAGATATGAACTTAAGAATTAAGAGAGTGAAGTACATGTTTTTTTGTTTTGTTTTACTTATGTAAACAAAATGAATACTTCAGAGCTGGAGAGAACGGCTGAGGGGTTGAGAGTTTGCACTGCTTCTGCAAAGAAGATGAGTTCTGTGCACAGCATCCACACTGGGCGGTCCACATGTACTGGACTCACATGCTCAGACCCCACAGACACATGCACACACACAATTACAAACGAGCTCTGAAAGCTCAAAACCATGTAATTCACCAGCTCTCTTTTCTTTTAACTAATTTCTTTATGTATAAGGGTGTTTGCTTGTATGTCTATGTACCGCCTATGTGCCTTGGGCCTGCTGAAGTCAGAAGGAGGAGTTGGAGCCCCTGGGAGTTACACACAGCTGTGTATTGCCATGTGGATGCTGGGAATTGAACTGGGGTCCTCAGGAAGAACTGCTGGTGCTCCTAATCAATGAGCCAGCTCTTTAGCCTCAAAATTCACTATCTTTAGCCAAACATTGACAGTAGTTAGCTAAGTTTCAAGGCATGATTTCCCTCTTGTTGAGTGTATCATAAGTCCAATCAGAGTTGTTGTTTACTGCCAATGTATGCATGCCTCTATTGCATCCTTAGGGCTATGGTGCCATGCTGGTTACTGGTATGGTTCATAGGTATCAAAGCTGGGTAGCAATGCATTGCCTTCTTCTTTTGGAAGCCTGTATGGTGCTTTCTGATTCCATGAAAGCTCCTCCTCAGAGAGGAGGCATTCAGGTCAGTTGAAGCTCAGGCATCTCCAATTTTTAAAAACAGATTGTTTGAATACAAATTCAAATAAAGCTTTGGCATTATAGTTAGCTAGAGTGTTTCTGAAATCTCTTTTTCATATAAGCTTCCCTTCCATTTTGCTTCTCTTTGCAATTTACTTTATTTTTTAATATTTTTCTTTCTGTAAGATTTATTTATTTATTCTGTATACAGTGCTCTGCTGGCATGTAAGAAGGAACCAAATCTCACTTTAGATGGTTGTGAGGCACCATGGTTGCTGAGAATTGAACTCAGGACCTCTGGAAGAGCAGTCAATGTTCTTAATTCCTGAACCATCTTTTTAGCCCCTGCAATTTATTTTTAAAGAAACTGGGTCATCTGTCCTATAGAGCTTCTTTCCTACACAGTTTAGAATTTTCTGCTGCCGTGTACACAGCATCATTTAATATACTCCTTTGCCCTGGTTCTATAAGCTTTGTTCCTCTAGAGAACCCTGACTAATACAGTATGCCTTGATTTTTTTTTTAGAAGAATATTTCATAGTTGACTGACCTGCTTTTAAACTGCATGACATTAAAAACAACTTTTCTCTGATGGAAGCAGAGGCAGACATCCACAGATACACACTGAATTGAACTCTGGAACTTAGTTGCAGAGAGGGAGGAATGAAGATTGAAGGAGTCAGTACCAAGTTGGAGAAACCCACAGAAACAGCTGGCCTGAACAAGG